CTGCACAAAATACAATAGTTATAAACACAATAAGCAGTCCTAATATTAGAACAGAAAGTGGGACAGCATCTGTAAGGGACCGCAGGATGGTGTCTGCGGTATTGGCAGTAGGAGAAGAAGTTGTTACAACTACAAAACTGGCATGAGTTGGTAGGGCAGGGCTGTTTATTAAACCTGGACACAAAACTTCACTGTTTAGGGATTTTAATTCTTTTTTTGCTAGGTGTCCTGGAGATTTACAAAAAATATCACCCATCATGGCATTCTTACTCAGTTTTTGTATCCATTTTTGCAGCCCAACTGAATCGCAAGTACAGTCCCAGGGGTTGTCTTCAAGTTCAATTTGTACCAGCCTATCCAGTTCATCCAAGACATTGCTCACAGGCAAATGAGCAAACTGGTTTGTTTTCAGATTTAATCTAGTGAGAGGAACACCTGAAAAGATATGGGGTGGCAAAGCCTGCAAAAGGTTGTTATTTAAGTAGAGAACTTTCAGTTTTGGCATTGCATTAAATGTCCCTGGCAAAACTTCTTTGATGGCATTATATTCAAGGTACAAGTACTCAAGGTGCTGAAGGCCAAGGAACAGATTTTGACTTAGCTTTGTAAGGTGATTCCCATTGAGATACAATTTCTGCAGTCTAGTCAGGTTCATAAAGGAACCTTCCTCAAGTATTTCAATGCGATTGTTCCCCAGGTGAAGCATTTCCAGGCTGGCATAGTCCACAAGATCTGATTTCAGTAATGTCTGAATAATGTTTCCAGCTAGAATAAGCTTTTTAGGATTTGGAGGAGGGGGTCCTAAATCAGACAAACTTTCAATATTTCGCTCCTGGCAGTGCATAAGAACTCCTGAGAGCATATGGCTGGTGCAGTGACAGGGGATGGGACAATAGATTCCTGGAAACTGTGTAGTAGGCTTTGAAGTATGAAGCACTAAAATTGGTTCTTTAGTAGGAGCTTTCAGGAGAGGAATCACCTTAGTCGATAGGTGACTATCACTGACAGAAGTGGTTACGACCAAGGGCAGTGACCCTGAAGGATCTTCAAGTTCATTGACAGGATGAGTGGGACATAGTGATTCTTTTTTCAACCGGCTTAAGATGCTGCCTTTGATAACTGGAGGACTATTGCATACAACATCACCTATTATTGACTGAGGAGGCATGTTTTCTAGCCATATCTTCAGCTGCAATAAATCACAGTTACAGGCCCATTTATTGTCTTCCAACTGAAGGTCTAGTATTCTACCAATGTGTTCCAAAAAGCCAACATAGGGCAGTGTCTGTAACTGGTTTCCACGCAGATCTAAATGGGTCAATGGCACAAACCGAAATACGTTTGGAGGAAGATACTCAATGGCATTATCATTCAAAATAAGCACTTTAAGCCTGTTGAGCTTGCTAAAGGCACTTGCTTCAATCACTGTGATGAAATTGTTGTCTGCTTGAAGAAACTCCAAATTTTCCAATCCATTAAATGTATCTTCTTTAAGTGTTTCTAAAGAATTGTGATTGATATGAAGTTGCTTAAGAAGGCTGAGACCATTGAAAGCCCCAGGCTCAATATCTGCAATATTGTTAAAACCAAGATGTAGAGAGATAGCATTAACAAGGCCAGCAAAATCATTCACATGTAACATACTCAGACCATTGTTTAACAGATTAAGATGGAAAGGCCTTGATGGTGGGACATTTATTTCTGATACCATCTTGATGCCTCTTTCTTCACAGTTTATAATCATGGTATCATCCTTTTCTTCACAGGAACACAAACTCTGACAAGATCCTCTGGCTGAAGAAAAAGAAGGCTGTGACTGGAAAGGATCAGATGCAACCATAACTGAATATAGAATGAAAATCCAAAGCTTCATCTTGTCCAGCAGAATCTATAAAAAAAAGAAGAAAAAAAAAAGGAAAAAGGAAAAGCAAGAGTCATGATTTCACAGGGTTTGGGTTGATTATTTGCTTGTTTTTTTCCTGGGGCAAGAGGGAAGAAAAAATATTCCTAATACTTTTGATTGAGCTGTGTCACCTTTCAAACAATATTCTATTGTGTAAAATATTTGAATTATTTTCTGATTAGAGAAAAATGTGTTTAATTTACTCAATCAACAAACAGAGTCATAAAGGGAATGCTTCAGTACTTTCATGCTGATACCCAAAATAGGAGATACTGTGTTGTCTTTATATACTGTATAGTCTGGCAGTGGACAGCAGTAATAAGTTACTGTCCCAAGCAACTTATATCAAAGCTAATATAATATTTTGGATCATTGCTTTGTGTCACTAAATAGCACTGCAAATTTTGAGAGTACCTTGCTAAGCTTAACTTAATGTTATCCAGCTGCTGAAGAGAAGAAATAAGATTCCGTTTGGTTCAACAATGTGTTGGGAGCAAAAGCCCATTCAGTCAGGATACAAGGAATCTCTCTTTGGTTCTGCATTATGTATGGAAATCAAAAGGCATTTCCTCTGTAATCCTTGTACCCACAAACTGAAAAGGAAGTAGATAAAATAATTATTTTTCTTTATTTAATGTATATGTTTTGGTTTGTGGATATTTAGTGAAAGAGGGACCACAGCAAATAGTAGTGTAATATGATTTCATATAGTATACATATCAAAAATTGTGTACACAATTAAAGTAAAAAAGAAGAGAGAACTGACAACGCAGTGCATGTCAGAAGAAATTGGTAAGCAAGGGCAAACATTTTTTGAGACTGATATTAGACTCCCTCAAATTAATATAATCATTAATTACCACCAAAGCTCTGAAATTTCTATGGCACTGACTGTGCTTTACAAATTAAAAATTAGCACCATATCATCTGTACGTTATGCAACATAGCTATCATTTTTCAAGCTGATCTTGAACTTTGTAATACCTGGTAAATGCATCATTATAGTACAGCTATGGAGTCACAAGCAAAATTTAGATGTTGAAATCAATCATTTATCATTGGTTTGAATTAATTTGTACGACACTATTTCTTTCTGTCAGGGTTGTCTAATTAGCAAGAACAATGGCAAATCTGGATATATGAGATGGAGTGAAATCACTGTTTTTAACCCTTAGTTAAGCATATCCACATTTCCTCAAAAAAAAAACTTACAATGGAGTAGATGCTTTAAAACACAGAACTTTTAAGATGTTCATGCACTATTTGTTTGAGGACTGAACTAAGCAGGATTATTAAGTAACCCATCTCGTAAAGGTCACTTGATCTTTCAAACTAAACTATTGAAACATGGAATACAGAATGTCAGTACACAAACAGCTGTGTTAATTTCTGAAAGGTTAGAGCCTTTTACAATGATCAATTCAATTACATGCATGAACATTCTTATTCTGTAGTCATATGATTTGGCACCTTTTTGGCATATTTTAAGCATGATGTACCTTTGTTATGAGAAACACCATTTCTCAAGGCTTCCCTTAGAATGGATAGCAAAGATTTACACATGCAGGCACTTAAATGCTGTGGCATGAGTATTACACACACACACACAAAAGGAACAACAGCAAATGTGTGCATAGCAAATTGCGTTTTTCTTCATTAGTAGGTGCTGATAAGTGGGACTAGTTGTGTGAGCTTAGAAGTAGTAAGTGCAATTCATAGTGAAATAAAAAAGTGTCCCTAAAAATATGAGCTTTTATCTTTGTTTCAGCAGAGCAAATAATTTTATTGCCTCATAGAACACTCTTTGTACTCCAGCTGCCTATGTTTAACACATATGCCTTTAAGTCTCTTTTCCCAAGAAGTATTGGATAAGACACAGCATGTCAAGATGTTATTTTGAAGTATGCGGAATAATTCTAGGATCATATTATGCTAGAGATTTATTCTTGCTCTACATGCACCACTATCCTTTCCAGTGACCCAAGGTAAAAAATACAAGCTTTTGACACAGATGTCAGCTTCAAACCTACTGTATGACTAATTCAACTTTATTTCTGTACACTTTTTCTCATTAGAAATTCCAGCGTCGATCTGCATCAAATTCAAACTACACTTACAAAGTCCCTGAGCAAAATTAAGTGAAAATAAAAAAAAAACCCTGACAGGCATGTTGCACTCTAGTGCATATTGAGAAATTAGGTTATAAAAATGAAAGCCCTCCTCTCAGACATGAAAGTAACAACATTTGTAACCAATTGGAAAACATTCACATATTAATCATCGTCATACTTCTGTGAGCAGCAATGCCAGAACTCTCACACACACACAAATATAGACACACAATAAAAAATTAATAGGAGAGTAATATTCTTTTTTCCCTTTCCCAGGTTTTATTCTTTTTTTCTTAACACTCAGAAATATGTAATGAAGTCCTCAGTGGGCTACTATTGTAAAATAAAAAATGCTTTCATGTAGCAGATGATTAACATTTAGTTGAAAGAATTCACAACAAAATAAAATTTATTTTAAAAGACTTCACAAAGCTGACCTTTTTCTGTTTCATATGGGGTGAGGTTTTTCAGCAAATTCTACATGGTAACTTAAGTTTTATCATTTTACCTGCTTTCATTAAGTCACTGCTGACTGCATACTATAACTAAGCTTCATAGGAATTTAAAAAAACTAAAAAATGACACCGTCCTTTCTATGAGGCAAAGTTCAATACTTTCAGAAGAAGCCACCTTACAGCAAATATATCACATGCCTAACAAGTTATAACTGATGTGCTTTTAAAACACTGAAATAGCTTGTTTCATTATACTTGGGGTTTTATTTGTATGGTTGTTTTAATTCAGCCACTTTAAAAAAATGTATGCTGAAGATTTAAAAAGCCTCAAGCTAAAAATTGGTAATTTCTAAAAGCCTTTGGGATTGTTTATTAAATTCTGAAGGGAACAACAATCAGATGAGGCATTTAAGACCACTCTTGCACTTCAGGAAATAAAAACAAACACCCATTCGTCTCCCCTCAAGGGATTAGAAAACCACGTTCCCTTAATACACACATTCTACACAGTTAGCAGTTCGAATAAATGTGCCTGCCAAACTGTTTAAAATCCAGTATAAACTACCATCATTTAACATGAAAGTTATACAAAGTCACGCAGGAAAATAAATTCAACTGGTACTGAGAAATGAAATTCTTATGTGCTAAGCTAATTAACTAAATGGAATCTTCCTTACCTGTACAGCAGTAACACTCCCTGAAACACTCAGCAATGCACAGTTGGAGCAGATGTTTCGATGCAATGCAATTTTTCCCTGTGAAAAATGTACACTTTCTTCTGTGTTTCACTTCGCTGCAAGCTCTGGTAATACTACAGCTCCATAAAGTTAAAATCCTTGTTCAGAAGACCAAGTACAAAGCATTCAATTGAAAAAATCTTCCAGGCAGCCGTGCACATCAGACCATCCTGTAAGCAGTTGTCCTTTTTCCTCAATTAAAATTCACAGCATACTTCACAGCTAGGCTGACTTTTCTGCATATAGTTAACTGTTTGCAAGCATTTGGATGCAGTAAACAAACAACATGCTCAGCAGAGCTTGACTTGATCACTAGGTTTGTCAGATTTTTAGATGCAAGCTGCTCCTGTGTTCTCTCTACTCTTTCTAGTCTTTCTTGTTAGCTCAGTTTGTTATTAGTCAGATTGCCAGGGGCTGGGAGGTAGGCGTAAATAAAGAGACTTCTTGGCTTTTGACTCAGCCTTTAAGCCCTTCCCCACCAGAGAGCTTTAATCTGCCAATGTCATTTAATACAAGATACAGCTCCACCTTGAGACAGATCAGCTCCTCCTCCTCCTGCTATTTCTCTCACCTCCTTTTTCCCTTATCTAAGTGAACCTCGGAAAGTAAAATTCAGCTAAACAGCTTTTAGTTTGCTTAAGGATTGTTAATGCCTGATTTTGCAAAACAGTAAACACCCACTGCAGCTCCTGCAGTTTGTTCTCTGGGACAGAGCTTGCGTTTAGTTTGTATCTGCAAATCCTTGCTTTAGAAACCCGAAAGCATTCCAATCCAAATACACTCCACAAAACACACCACAAGGGAAACCTTGTCCTCTGGAAAATATGTCTATCACTATGAAGTGCAGGATTACTCAAATATATAAATGAGACAGTACAGGTCTCAATCCAGTCCACACAGTGTGACTGGGGTAGGGATGAGTATGTACAGTTGTACATACTTTATTTCTGGAAAAAAAAAGAAAAGAAATTGTGGAATATTAGTGCTTATGCCTGCACAATGACTGCCATCAGTCCTTTTTAAAACTGCCCATCTTGTTCTGTAGGAAGAAGACTGGGTTGATTGTAATTGTCTGTTTTACAGATGTTAGCACAGTGTGTTGGTATCTGTCCATGTGAGACTGTATTGTATTTGCATGAAGCATTGCTTTGATAAAAACGGCCTGGTTTGGGGGAGGGCATTCTTAAAGGCATGTACCATGCTTAAGGTATTATTTTCTTTGTGCTCATAAACAACTAATTAGCAGTTACAGTAGGGCGATGGGAAAATATTTATTCCACGCAAGGAAGGTTTTCCTTATCCCTCCTGTACTGCATGGGATGGTTTTATAAGCTGCAAAATCTACTTCCTTGTTCATCCCACAGCTACAGAACCACAAAACCTTCTGGTGAGCAAGAATAGAGCTGATTTATTTACTCTCTAGAGCGTCTTGGATTACTTTACAGATTGTTTACTGCAGCCTGCAACCAGTCAGATTCCAGTGACTTCTTTTGTCCTGATAGCTCTCTAGGTGGCCTCGTTGACCTTTGAAGTAGTATTGTGACGTACTGTTCCATGTGATAAAGGCTATCAAGATCTCGTTCTGTATTTACATATACACATATATACATACATTTTTATATATAGGATTATGCATATATGTCTTGCCTTATTATAATGAGTTTTTAAATACTTAATTTTCTAAAGATAAAAAATGTAATTTAGCAAAATAGTAAAACCCTCAAAATATTCCTAAGGCACAGCAGCAATTTGATTTCCATTCATTTCAACACATCACTTATTTGACTGCATTTTGCTCCTTAAAATGAACCTCACCACTCTATCTAGACTTGCAGACATTTTACTGTTAAGGCTCAAAGGTTCTCAGTAATCTGTGACAAGCCAAATAAATCATTATACTCTTTATTAATTTTGAATTTATGGATTTTAAGTCATATTATTTCTAATATCTATGTACATTTTACATAGGCTCATGCTTCACTTGTGGTTGGCTGTTTAAGGCTATCTGTATATATAGATATTTATATCAGAAGTGAAAACAATGTAATTCTTTTCATTTAACATCCACAAGAGTAAAACCTGATCACAAAAATATTTCTAGAAATCAACTGCTAAAACTAGGACAGTGTTTCTTAATCTAACCATACCGAATTAAAAACACTGAGAAGGTTTATCAATATTTGTCATTCCACAAACTGTATATTTACCAGGTTTATAAAAATATGGCTAATAATTGGTTTTCCACCACAATTTTATGAATCATTAAGCAGATTATTATAAATAATGTGATTCTGCAAGCACATTTGCATGAACAGTGTTGAACTCATATGGAGTTTGTATCCTTATATCAAATATTCACCTTTATCAATTGCTCTGACAATTTTAACTTTTGTGAAGCTGTATAAATAAAATCTAAAACTGTCAGGCTTACTTACTTCCAAAAAGGCCTTAAGCTTCTATGTCATTCCTCTTCACCCCTTCACCAAGTACAGCATCTCCATAGAACAGAAATGAGACCATACCCCTCTAACTATATATATGTTGTGCAGAACTCTCCCACTGAGTTTTCATCCTTATCAATACATAGATGCAAAGAAATTTTTATGCTATCAAGCATGTGGATCTTGTATTAAACACTTAGAGAAAGGGTTGTGTATCATGTTTTATTAATTCTGTGCAGGTTTCTTTACTCGTATACATCCCAGAAGAAACACCTGAGCCTAAATTACATAATTTGTAAAGTTTGGTTTGACCATAAAATTTCCAGGTAGATTCTTCTTCAAGCAATTGTTTTTTTCTTAGTAATATGTTCAATCTGTTCAGGAAAATCCTGAACACTACAGGAGCACCCATAAGAAGCAGTGGGAAGCTTTCTCACACCCTTTCAGTCAAGACTTACTAGTACCACTTCTAGATTACTGCGAAGAGTGTTTTCATAAAAAGGCTGTTAATTTCAAATGTGGAAATTTGGCTTACAATTTACAGATTAGTTTACAAAATGTGAATTTTCATGGTGCCCTACTTATTTATTTGTAATTTCAGTGTTTAAAAATAACAGGAGGAATAAGGATCTGCATTTGCTATTTCAGTGGAAGAAAAAGGTCTCCTTCACCATCATTCATGACTCATCATCACTTCTCAGGCTGTGCATAAGGAGCCATTGATTCCACGCAAGGTGTAGGACCCAAATTATATATCCTTCCCTACCTGCAAGAAGCTGCTAGTCTGCATCTGCAACTCTTCACCTATATTTCTTGCAAAATGAGCCCTTTGAACTCTGTATAAGTACTGGTCTGAGAGCTTAAGATACCATACTGAAAGGAAATATTTTTCTGGAACAACTAAGTAGCATCTGAATATTCACACCTGAAAGAACCCGCTGCGGAACTCAAAACTCATATATATAGTATACATGAAGATTTCATATAGAAGGATGGTCACCAAAGCTAAGACTTAACTATGTAGAATCAGAGAACATAGAACATGAACATATATACACTCTAAACAAACAAACAAAAACCATAGTGTGACATAGCTATAATTATGGAAGCTACCATTGCCTACTATAAAGCCAATCCAGCCTTTCTCTCCCATGACAGAGAAAATTTAGAAAGATTTTCTTGAACTATAAGTTTCATGACAGTCAAAGGAACAGGAAAGAAATCAATAAGATTTGCATTAGGAAAGAGAGCATTTTATTCTGTAGGCATCCATTTGCTTAATTTGGCTACAGAACACCAACTTCCCTCACAGAACTATTGCCCCTTTTTATGTATTGGGATAGGTCTTACTCAAAACAAAAAATCTGATGAAAAAGATCTTCAATTCATAAGAAAATGGTTGAGTCAAAGGAACACATTTTTATTACTCTAATGCAGTTTCTAAGTAACTATATTAATTTAGGCCCATATGCATACACCTAATATACAAGTATACAAATCCTGGAATTATAGAATGGCTTATACTGTAAGGCACCTTAAGGATCATCTAGTTCCATACTCCCACGACCCAGCATGGGCAGAGGTTCCTTCCACTGGGCCAGGCTGATCAAAGCCAAGTTCAGCCTGGGCTTGAACACTTCCAGGGATAGGTCACCCACAACTTCTCCGAGTAACCTGTTCCAGTGCATTACACCACCCTTACAGTAAATAATATCTTCCTAATATCTAATCTAAACCTACTTTTCTTCAGTTTAAAGCTGTTGCCGTTCATGACAAC